AGCTCTAGAAGATATAATTCCAAATGAGTTAAGGCAAAACCTGTTTTGTAACATTTAGTAAACCCTTCTTAGAACAGGTAAGGACTAATCTGGGCTTTTCAAGTTGGAGAGGGTTGGGAAATGTGAAAAACAGAAGGAGGGACCACTCAGCAAAGAGCCAACGGAAACTGTTTATTTAGCCAGCAACACCAAGTTAACCATGCCTCTCCTCCTTTAAGACCCACTCTTTCCTCACCCATTCATGGTGTGTTATGGGCCAGCATCCTTCCAGATCCTTTCTCAGTCACCTGCAACCCTTTTGGCTCACTCAGTGCTCAGTCTCATTGGTTGCTAAGCCATTCCTCTCTTATCTCCACAGTTAAGTCCTGCATCTGTTCCTTGTGTTCCATTTGCACTGTCAATGGCTTTGTTCATGCCATCATCAGCTCTCATCTGGATGACTGCAACATCCCTCGGCATAGTCTCCTGTGAAATCATTCCTCAGACTGCTCTGAATGTGCCAGACCTTCTCTCTGAAACCAAAGCCTTCGTTCAGTTTTCACAGCCTTTAGAACAGGGTTGAAATTTCTTAGGCACACAAGGCTTTCATGATGTGGCAGAGAATGAGGGCAGGAGGTGAAAAAGGATGGGTCAGGGACAGGCAGAGACACTAATTCCTGCCTTAGTTTCTTTTTTTTTAAATATATTTTTATTGATTTCAGAGAGGGAGAGGGAGAGAGAAATAGAAACATCGGTGATGAGAGAGAATCAGATCAACTGCCTCCTGCAGGCCCCCTACTGGGGACCGAGCCCACAACCCAGGCATGTGCCCTTGATCAGAATCAAACTAGGGACCCTTCAGTCCACAGGCTGATGCTCTGTCCACTGAGCCAAACCAGCTAGGGCCCTGCCTTCGTTTCTTAAGGCTGCTATAACAAATTACCAAACTGTTTGGCTTAATATAACAGACATTTATTTTTTCACAATTCTGGAGACGACAAATCCAAAATCAAGGTGCTAGAAGGGCTCTGCTCCCTCTGAAGACTCCAGGGAAGAATTCTTCCTTGCCTCTTTCTGGCTTGTCAGAGCTCCTGGAAAATCTTGGCAGCTGCATCACTCTAATCTCTGTCTCCACCTTCACATGGTCATCCCTGGGTGTGTGGGTTCAAATCTCTCTCTCCTTTCTCTTATCTTAAAGATACCAGTCATTGGATTTAAGGCCCATTGGGGTTTAAGACTTGAAGGTATCTCTTGGAGACACAATTCCACCCTCGATATTTTACATTGGTGGAAACTACAGCTCGATGGCTTAACACAGGGATGGAGTCTTGCTTGTGAAAAAGTTTGGGATGAAATGCAGTATTTCAGGAGCCGAGGAGCTAATATTAATAGGATACGTCAGATGGCCAGGAAGGCTTCCTGAACAATGGAGTAGCATGCATGATCAAACGGTAAAGTTTTACTCAGGAAAAATCAATCTGGAAGCTAGATATAGAAAAGAGTATAGGAGAAAAAGTCAGAAAATTCAGGTAAGATGTCACAGTAGCCCAAAGGCGAGGACACAGGCACAGAATTAGACGGTTAGCCCCAGGAAGCTGTTAATTCTGCCTCTTTTGTTCAGCAATATATCCCAAGAACCTAGGACAGTGTTTGTCACATCATAGGTGCTGGGTACACATTTGTTGACTAGGGTGGAGGAAGTAGATGCCACAGACCCGTTCAGAGGTGGACCGAATTAGCTGGTCCTGGCACATGACAGGGGTGGAGAAGTAGCATCAGTTGAGCATCACTTAAAGTCAAGCCCATAATGGGCACCTGTTCTAGACAGAACCCAGCCTCTCTCATACCACCTGCAGCCTGGCATTATATCCGACTCCGGGCTATTCCCTACAGTAGTGTGCACCTGGAGCACAGGAGACATAACTTCATTCATGTTTGAGCGTGTCCTTCACAGCACGTTGCACACAGTAGGCCCCCAATACAACTTTCGGTGAACTTATGCGTAAATTTCTACAAATACGCAAAATCGAAAGGCTTTCCCAGAACGAAACTCTGGATTTTATACTTCTGTACGCTTCAAAGCGCCTGCCGGCGCATGGCGCCTAAAAGCCCTTGTTTAACCAAACAGAATAAATCAGATTCACCCAGTTCCGCCCTGGCAGCGACGTCTGCACTTGGCAGGACAACAGAATCCACTGCCATTAAATTCTTATGTAAGAGTTAATGACCTCCCAGCCCACTTGACATGCCTCCCACCACAGCGAAGTGGAAGGGAAGGGAAAGGAAGCGAAAGCACTATTCGCACGCACACACATACTCTCCCGGTGGCAGATGCACAGATTAATTTCTAGCTTCGGTTCCCCACAACGATCCTAAAACACCGCTGCAGGCGCGGCGCGGCGCG